GGTCTGAAACATTGATGATTGCTTCTACCCCTGGCACGCAGGTTTGAACCACCACTTTTGTGAGTCAGTCTTAATATGCCCATAGCGTAGCCCATGCGTTGAAGCATATTGAAAAATTGAGCGGGAAGAATGTAACGACACAGTGCATCTCCATGTTGGTACCACCATTTTACCGAATGAATGTAAATGCTACCATCAGCGATCGACACATGCTCCGCTAAAATTATCGTGTTTACTGAAACTTGGCTCTGCGGGCAAGTGTGCGACTCCGAGATATTTTTAAACGCTCATCGCTTCTCACTTTTCGTCGCGACCGTGGCACACAGAGAGGCGGTGGCGTACTTCTGGCTATTTCCAGCGATATCCCATCATCATCTGTACACGTTCATACTAATCTAGAAATGATATGGGCTGTGGTAACGCTTAGTCACCAGAATGTAGTCATCGGGGTATGCTACCGCCCACCCTCACCCTCGCCTACATTCAGTAGCGAACTTCAAGATGCCATAAACGTTGTTAGTACGCGTTTCCCTACATCGCCGTTGCTCTTGCTGGGTGATTTCAATTTTCCCAACATAACCTGGAATTCCCATTCCCCTTTAATATTTCCGCTTTCGTCCCAAGCTCGCGAATTTTTAGACGTTTGTTCGGTATTTTCCTTACAGCAAATGTGTACACAAGCACCAGAATAGTAGCTCACGCTGCAAACACATTAGACTTAATTCTAACAAACAGTTCCGATATAATATCGCCCATAACGTACCTTCCGGGTCTTAGCGATCATTTGCTTCTACATTTTTCCATTAACTTAGCCCACCCGAAAACAAAGAAAAAGAAGAAAATCATTCGTGACTATAACAGAGGTGACTTTGAGGCAATCAACAATGACCTTTCTACCTTCACGGATCTTTTTCTTGACGGTTTTGACGATCGCAGTGTACAAACTAATTGGAATATGTTTTCAGATAAAATAATTCAACTCACTGAACAGTACATCCCACACCGCAGTGTAACCAACTACTCAAATGCACCCTGGTACAACAGCCATATCCGGCGTTTGTCAAACAGGAAAAAGCGTTTCTTTCGCGCCGCAAAACTTTCGCCTTCTAATGAACGTTGGGCTTTATATGCAACAGCGTCTACGTTGTACATTCAAGCCCTTCGAGATGCAAAAAAACATTTTCATTCCCATGTACTACCTTCCATATTAACCACAAATGTTAAGAAATTCTGGCGAACTTTTAATCCCTCAACCGATGACGCTATCACACTGACCGATTCCTCTGGCGACCCCATTTCATCTGATATTTGTGCCTCAGTTTTTAACCGTACATTTGCTGAGAACTTTTCTGCCCATTCTGCTGTTAATAACCCCCACAACAAACAGCCATACCTTTGAAAGTATGCCACCTATACTAATCAGTACACTTGGTGTTCTTGAGCTCATTGGTGGACTTAGCCTTCATTCAGCTCCCGGCTGTGATAATATTAGTAACAAGTTCTTGAAAAACACTTCGGACTACGCTGCGTTAATCTTAACTAAACTTTTTCAACAGTCTCTTGATCAGTCCATTCTTCCAAATGAGTGGAAAATTGGGAAGGTCATTCCAATTCACAAGTCTGGAAGCAAGACATCTCCACTTAACTATCGCCCCATTTCCTTAACCAGCACATGTTGTAAAATGTTTGAGCATATTATTTTCACTAACCTTGTCGGTTTTCTAGAATCCAACTCTTTTTTCTGTTCAGCACAACACGGTTTGAGAAAACATTACTCATGTGAAACTCAGCTAATAACCTTTACTCATGCGCTACATCAAGTACTAGATCGATCATTGATCATTGACTGCATATTTTTAGATTTTTCTAAGGCATTCGACAAGGTTTGTCATAAATTGCTACTGCTTAAACTAAACACGCTTAATATTGGTATAATTTACTGAAATGGATTGAGTGCTTCCTTTTAAACCGCTCACAATTTGTTTCTTTTAATGGCTTTAACTCAGAGTTTACAGATGTCTATTCGGGAGTTCCTCAAGGTTCAGTCCTTGGGCCTTTATTATTCCTAATTTATATTAATGATCTTCCTTCCGTTGTTAACTCTAATATTCTCCTATTCGCGGATGACTGTGTTGTTTTTAGAGAGATAACGAACTCTAATGATGTTGCCTCACTTCAGTCTGATCTTGGCGCAATCGCAGACTGGTGCAGTGAATGGCTAATGCAACTAAATATTAATAAATGTAAAGTCATGCGTGTTTCCAGAAAATCTTCCCGTCCACCACCATACCACATTGATAACATTCATTTAGAATCAGTAACTTCATATAAATACCTCGGTGTTTACATTACTGCAAACCTAAACTGGTCTGCTCATATCGAGCACTTAATTAACAAAGCTAACCGCATGTTAGGCTATCTTCGTCGAAATTTTTATCACGTTCCTTCCTCCTTGAAACTCCTGCTCTATAAAACACTAATCCGATCGAAATTAGAGTATGCTACATCGGTGTGGGATCCCACCCATATCAACTTAATTACTGCTCTAGAGATGGTTCAGAACAACTCTGTACGTTTCATTCGCGCTAATTACAGTCGCACCGCCAGCATAACTTCTATGAAATCAGACCTTTCCCTCCCATCATTATCACTGCGCAGAAAAGTGTCACGCATTGCCTTGTTTCATAAAATGTATCATCATCCTGATCTGCGCGATCGACTCATCCCTCAACCATCTTATGTATCCCATCGCACTGATCATCGTCACAAAGTTGGATTCGCTTCATGTAATACTGAGTATTTTATCAATCATTTCTACCACGAACCTCTCGCGATTGGAATGGCCTTCCCGCTGACATGTAAACATTAATAACTGTAAACATTTTCGCAATTCTGTAGCTAATATTGTATACTCAGCTCTTTCTAACTTATAGTGCGTCTCTATTGTACTTTGCATATTTTGTTCCTTTTATTTTGTTACCTTTTGTGCTTTTACCACTCCCCCTCTGTAATGCCTCTGGCCCTGAGGGGTATAATAAAATGAAAATGAAATGAAATGAAGTGCGTCAGCATTTATACTCTTGCCATCGAATGTTCTCGCGTTATCGCTGGCGGTGGTGTAGGCTCTAGAAAAATCTGTACAGTTTGCAGAGTGGGCATAATCTTATCGAAATAATCTACTAAAGTCTGGAAGCTTCTCGTAAACTGCACGCGCGTTTTGCGCTGAGAATTTCGGGGCGATAACAAAACTTGAGAATTGGAACGTTGCAATATAAATGTGATTCCTTACTGAGAAATACAACTCATAAGGTGGGTAAGCTGACGCACACAATACTTCATTGTCCAGAGAAGCATAGAACAAGGAACGCCATGGGCGCACGCGATAACGTAGCCACGGGCCAAAACCGAGATAAAGAGTGAGCGAATTCGACTCGCCCATTGGGCAGACACATAAGTTTACTAGTGAGACCGACGTGCGCTACATCTGTTGTTAACTGCAGCAAGCAAAATATGTTGAACGATTAGTGGCATTGATCTCAATTCAAGCAAGCTGAAGCCACGCATCGGAGCATTGAAGCTAAAGATGCTGACTGCTGTACATGCCTGATAGGGGAAATGCGGAAGGGCATTGCTCCTTTGCTTTTGTCAATAAGTGCATACAGAAAAAGTTTAGTTTCGTTGAAACTTAGGTGGCATGTACCTGCTCCATGTTCTCTATTTTCTGTATTGGTCTGCGAAAAGAAAACCTCAGCTGTGATCCATGATTGTACTGACATTCCAGCCGTTACTGTTTCATGATATGTGAGCCTTCCCTTAGTCACCGTTTGTTTGAACGATAGTCCTACTTTTAAATTGAGTTCCTCGGCTACTTAGGCTGTATGAGAAACATATAAGAGTGTTTGCAAATGTATATTACTGCTAGTGCTTCCTTAGAGAGCTTATAATCAACTGCCGTAGTTCAGCGATAGACATTTCTTAATCAAGAGAAATGAATTTGTGTTCTTCATTTTTAGAGCTGTGCGAATAGCAACACTGTATTTGTGCTAAACAAATTCCAATATGTAAGTGTGAGTGGGAATCAAATATTTTTGAACATTTGTTGAATATATTTTTAATACTTGAAAGTCAAGTTACAGAATAAATGTTGCAAAATATTTCTAATCACATAAATATGGAATAGAATTATGGCATTGTTTTTTGGCCTGGTTGGTCAAGACCTGGTGTGAAAGTGATCCCTTGTTTTATCAAAGATGAGTAAAGATCGAATTGTATTTATTTATCGTATTTGGTGCCACCAATGTGGTGTCCACAGCAGTGTACACGTGGAAGGTGCTTCCCCCCCCCTCTACATCAAATTCTGTGGAGGCTTTTCTGATTTGACGCACAAGGGCGTGCTCCTTTCGAATTTCAAGTTGCTGATGTGCCCTACTGGTGTCTGTGTATAGAAACGCCTAAATTTGAAGGTAATTAGAAGGTTCGTACAACATTTTCGGTCGTTTTGGTCTGAAACATTGATGATTGCTTCTACCCCTGGCACGCAGGTTTGAACCACCACTTTTGTGAGTCAGTCTTAATATGCCCATAGCGTAGCCCATGCGTTGAAGCATACTTGAAAAATTGAGCGGGGAAGAATGTAACGACACAGTGCATCTCCATGTTGGTACCACCATTTTACCGAATGAATGTAAATGCTACCATAGCCTGAAAAGCAGCTTTGCCGCAAAGTGTTGTTGTAAGGAGGTAAAGCAATTTAAAAAATCTGAAGGGCCTCAGTCAATTGGGCATTGACTGTTGTCTTTAGGAAGCTCTAACAGTAAAACTTTCAGCGGAAAATAATCGACTAGCAAGTGCCATTCAAAAAGTATTAGAAAGTTTGAATACTTGCACACTGTTATTTTTTTCTAAAAGTAAGAGAACAAATCTGGAACAAACCAATTTAACATCATTTATCAAATGGGGTAATGTTGTAATGAATTGTCCGTATTTTCTATGCCCTGCAGTGCTGCCTGAAGCCTTGTGGAAAAGGAAGCAACGCAGGTCAACTCAAAGATCAAGCTAACACCTGAAAAGAAAATAAATAAACAGAGATGTCATTTTCAGTCCTACATTACTGTGCAAGACTGCTGTTCTTGCCCATGGGCACGTAAAAGGGCATGTTGCCTTCTCCAATACATTTAGTTACGTTAAGAGAAGGAATACACGAGGACTCGTCATGCAAAAACACACAATCTCGGGCCTTGCTAAAGCACACCAGTCCATGTCATACCACAAAACGGCCGTATTCACCGGACCAGCCGTATAAGCCAGAAACCGTGTCTGAATTCCCGCTCTGGTGTTAACGGGAAAAACATACCATATACTGCCCGGTGCATTATTTAACGGGGGGCTCCCTTAACATTAGACCAACCATTTCCAGTTATACGACTAAACTTTGCTTACCACACGTTTGCACCTTGAGCCAATCTGTTCTTTTCGTGTCCCTTCACGTAAAGTTCACATTTTACGAATTCATGAATCGTATTTACGAATCCGTGAATAGTATTTAACACACGGAGACGCTCTAGGTGCCGACCAGTGCGGACGCGCGAAGATCGGCTCCTGCTTTCAAGAATGCTTTCCTGTGGTATTCACGAATTTGTCGCCGAGTTTTCAGTCCCATCGTGTGCCTAAGTTCTTAAGAAATCAGCAGATACCACCTTTGTGCCGGTGAGTGGATTTTAAACCGTTTTTTGGGACATTTTTACACGGCAACGCCACCGGGGGATTTAGGCCTAACCAAGGAGGCGATTGTCGCCGATGCGCCGGCCCGGCGCCAACGCGACTCAACGCTCTGCGCGTTCCAGTATCTGCAACTGAGAATGGAATACCAAGTAGATGGAGAGGACATCTCTCCAGAGGATTGCACGGAAGAAATGGGTTGGAAGGAAGCCGAAACAAGACGCTCAAGGAATAAGCAAGCCGCGGTCAGCGTTCCTGCTGCCAAGGGTTCGACCGAGGCCGGCGTTGCGGGAGACACTCGAGCCAGTCGTGGTAGGTATGACACCAAGCATACAATCGTGCGAGCTGGACGCATGCCGCCACTACCTAAGGACTTCAGCAAAATTGTGCTACGACCACGTGGAGGATTAAATATCTCGAGAATTGGCACTGGAGCCGTGGCAGACGCGATAGTACTGGCGGCCGGCGTCAAAGAGGAAGAGGCCATGCAGGACATCATCTGTTCCAACTTGCAGCAGAACATTACGGTGGCAAGCACTCCGGACCAAGACAGAGCTTCAAGATACCTCAAGGTCAAGCAAATTGACATTGGAGGCAAAGTTTTCGAGGTTAGAGCGTATGCCGCGGCACCCCACGACACTTGTAAAGGAGTGATTCGCGGGATCCCCGTAAGCGATACTCAGGACATTTTGACCCGAAAGATTGTGAACGCGAACAACCCGCTCGCGCTGCAGGCCAAGAGAATCAAGAACACCGGGACAATCATCATAGCGTTCGAAGGACACAAGGTGCCCAGATTCGTGAGATATGGACCTTCACTTTTGCAGTGCTCTTTTTACCGCAAGAACATCGATATTTGTTACATCTGCGGAAAACTGGGACATCGGGCTAACGTCTGTCCGAACCCAGCTGAAACAATCTGCAGAGGCTGCGAAATCAAGAACCCAGATAGCCTGCACCAGTGCAATCCAAGATGCAGGCTGTGCGACGGTCACCATCCCACGGCAGACAAGGAGTGCAAGAACAGGTTCTTAGTGCCATACGTCGTCAGACGCAGACGTTGGGAAAGATCACGAGCAGCTGCAGAAGCCCGAGACGCATCAATCACATCGAGTCCAGACATCAATGACAAGCAGCTTATTCCAGCCTACGGAACCCAGAGCATCCAGACTACACAAGAACAGGAAAGGCGGCCCCACTCCAGGGGGAGGTCGCGTTCCAGAAGAGGTTCTAGACCCAAGGCCCGCTCCCAATCACGGGGGCGCTCGTGTTCTCAAGGTCACCATCAGGGTCGGGATCAGCCTGAGCGGCACCCGAACGGCCAGCTACCTGGCGTTCAGTTCGAGATCACGGCTTCACATCCGGGGAGGACGCCTGCAGTTACTTCGAAAGGCAGCTGGGCTGAGCGAGTGCGCAACGGCGGGGCAGAGGTGATGACAGGTAAGCTGCCAGAGCATGATAGAATTGCACAGCTAGAGCAAGAAAACGCGAGACTTACAAAATCAAATGAGAGGCTATCAGCTGAGTTAAAGGAAATAAAAATTCTTCTCACTAAGCTAACCAGCGCGCAATCTTCACAGCCAATGCCTCAGCCAGTTGATGTCTCTGTGGCTGAAAACGTGGGGGACTCGAGAACCGCGAAAAAGAGGGCAGTCATGGCAGAAACACTGGAAGCCAACCAAACGACCATGTCAGATATGAAAGAGGTGTTTGACACGCTCAGCAAAGTAGTAGCCAATCTTAGCGAGCAGATGGGTAGGCTACAATCAAGCGTGGCGGCACTGGAAGAGCATATGACTTTGCGCATTACAAAGGTCGAATCATATCTGCACAACACAGCAAGGCCTCCTCATGCACCAAGCTCACCCCTTCGGCCACCAATACTAGTGGTACCAAACCTGTCGACAGGTGCAGCATCAGGCTCCGGCCACCCATGTAATAACCATGATGGCAGCGCTACGTGAAGCATTTCGTATCTGGCAATGGAACTGTAGAGGTTACCTTAAAAAGAAGGCAACCCTGCAGCAGTATATCAGGAGCAGCCAAGAAAAGCCTCATATTATATTATTACAAGAGACCCTTTCACCGCAAGCAACGTTGCCTGGATTCCGGCCTGTAATAGGGGATACTGAAGGGAGGGGAGTCTGCACCTTCGTATGCAACAAACTAACACACGTAACCCATGACCTCAAGATAGAAGCAGGCCAATTGGAACACGTCTTGGTAGAGATCGTGCCGGGTACCAGCAACCGTCAGAGCATTTTCATTCTTAATATATACAGCAGTCCAAAGGAACAAAAGCAAGGGTTTAAGACGGTTCTAAAGAAAGCTGTTAATATCGCCGGGGAATGTCCACTCGTCATAGCAGGTGATTTCAACGCCCCTCATCATACATGGGGTTACAAGTACAACACTGGGAAAGGAAATCGACTTTGGCAAAGTGCCAGTGAACTTGATCTCACCCTAATCACAGACCCCAGCCTACCAACAAGGCTTGGTACATCTTGCTGCAGGGATTCCACCACGGACCTTACATTTGTAAGGAACATCAAGAAGGCCCAGTGGATGAACCTTGCTGTAGACCTTGGGAGTGACCACTGCATTCTTGCCACTACCTTCTCCGTGGAGCGTAAAAAGCAGAGAGAATTCCACTGCACAGATTGGGATAAGTTCAGGAAGATAAGGATGGAAAGGGAACAAGATGGCCACAGACAAGGCTTGGAGCAGCGGGTCAAACAGATTAAAGATGACATCAAATCCGTCTCCTCCACCATTACCACAGATCTTCCGGTTGAAAGAATGGATAGCCGGCTTGCTCATCTTCTTGAGGCAAAGCAAGCACTACTGAACCGTTGGAAGGGTCAGCGCCTGAACCGAAGACTGAGGAAGAAGATAGCTGAGGTAAACAGATCAGTCGAGGAACATTGTCGCGCACTATCGAGGCAGCAATGGGACGAAATCTGCAACTCCGTCGATGGTCAGATGCGCAGTGGCAAGACATGGAATATGTTAAAGCATCTCCTCAACGAAAACACCACTAAAACAAATCAAAAGCATGTCATCGCTCGAATTTTGCATAAAGAGATAGAGCGCACTACAGAACAACAAGTTGTCCAGCAGCTCGTGCATAAGTACCTCCCAATCAAAAGAGGATTGGCACCACCAAGTAGACAGTACCAGGGCACGCCAAATCCAGGTCTTGAGGGCGACTTTAACATCAAGGAGATCAGAAGAGCCTTGCATGATCTCAACGGCAGGTCGGCCCCTGGTCCGGACGATACATCAAACAAGGCCCTGCGTAACCTTGATGACGATTCAATTGAAACCCTGAGGGATATGATCAATTCAGCATGGAAAGGAGGCAGGGTGCCAGAGCAGTGGAAGCTGGCCAGCACGATCCTTATTCCTAAGCCAGGAAAGCCCCCTAACTTGGACAACATGAGGCCAATATCCTTGACATCATGTATCGGCAAGGTCGCAGAACATGCCATACTGCACAGGATAAACAAGTACTTGGAAGATAACAACATATATACACACAATATGGTTGGATTCAGGGCAGGGCTATCCACACAAGATGCATTGAAGCTTATCAAACACCAGGTCATTGACAATGAAACCAGAGACGTGAGAGCCATTCTGTGCCTAGATCTAGAAAAAGCGTTTGACAACATCCACCATTCATTCATACTCGAAGCAATTTGCAAGCTTGGTCTAGGGAAAGCCTTCTTTGACTACGTATGGTCCTTTCTTACAGATCGGAAAGCCGTGATGAAGATTGCAGATATCGAGACCGCAGAAACCGAACTAGAAGCAAGGGGCACGCCACAAGGGGCAGTGATTTCACCAATGCTGTTTAACATTGCCATGATTGGACTGTCAAAGAAATTATCGAGCATTGAAGGATTGAAGCACAGCATCTACGCAGATGACATTACCATCTGGTGCACAGGTGGAAGCAAGGGGCAGATTGAGAGCGCTCTGCAAGAGGCGATTGACACCGTAGAAGACTACCTTCGCCCTTCCGGGCTCAAGTGCTCCTCGAGTAAGTCAGAACTTTTGCTTTATCGGACTGCACGCCGGGGACCAAAGCCCAGGGGATGGAAGCCGTTAAACCAGATAGACATCCATCTCCGTACAAATCAAGGGGATGCCATCCAGAGGGTCGACTCCATCAAAGTCCTGGGAATGCTGATAGAGTCTACCGGCGCCAACAGCAAATCTATAGCCAAGTTAACTCGGAAAACAGACAGTGCGGTGCACCTCATACGCAGAGTGGCCAACAAAAGAAATGGGATCAAGGAAGACAACCTCATCAGGTTGATGCATGCGTTTGTTCTAAGTCACTTCACATACGAGGCAGCAATGCACAACTGGTCAAGAGCAGAG